GATTCAGACAAAAATGTTTAATGGAATATTCTTAGTGCAAGAATCTAAGGAAAGAACGGGTCAACTAATCGCAGAATAGAAACCTATTACCGTTTTCCGATATATGTAATTACTTGTTTAATATATAAAGCGAAGCCCATTTATGGTGTAGGTTGCCATGTAGGCAAGCTTAGCATCTCTTACATCTACTTATCTCTTACATCTACTTATCTCTTACATCTACTTATCTCTTACGTCTACTTGTCTCTTACATCTACTTATTTTCACCAGGTAATGGAGCTAGTATCGATCTGGGGTCCGCTGATCTACGCAGGCTGCTTCGCGGCCACCCTTTCCTCAGCCATCGCTTCTCTCGTGGGTGCCCCCCGTGTGCTACAGGCCCTCGCCAAGGACAGACTCTACCCCGGCATCTTCGTGTTCAGTATCGGTTACGGCGCCAACAACGACCCTGTCAATGGATACTGTCTGGTCTTCGTGCTGTCTCTAGCAGTTCACGGCTGATTGGTGGATGTCCGGAGAAATCCAAGGCGTTCGATTCAGGGCTTATTGGTGCACAAAATTGGTGGTGCACGGCTGCGCTCCCCAAACCACTAGGCGAAAATTTTGCCAAATCTCAACAAACGCGAAGAAACATGTTATTGCTGTTAGTCATTCACATTATCTTCTCAATGATTCGTAAGTGTTCGATATTTTGGTTGATTTTCCCCGAATTGGACGCAGAATTTGTTTATGTGTGGTGTAGTTGTGTGTCGTACATAAATTGTTGTTATAGTATCTTGCTATATAACAAATTTTCACAAATTAGACATTGCAGCAATGGCATTGAGTAAAATTGAGCTTCACGATTGTTCCTCATTAACCAAGTGAATCGAGATATTATGTCTCATGCAATGATATAAAATGAAAACATAATTTCAAACAAGGATTCAGACAAAAACGTTTAATGGAATAATCTTAGTACAAGAATCTAAGAAAAGAACGGGTCAACCGAGACTAGTTTGGAAACCTATTACCATTTTTCGGTGTAGAATTACTTGCATGAAGCGAAGTGCAGTTGTTGTGTAGATTGCCATGTAGGCAAACTTGGCATCTCTTACATCTACTTATTTTTACAAGGTAATGGAGCTAGTATCGATCTGGGGTCCGCTGATCTACGCGGGCTGCTTCGCGGCCACCCTCTCCTCCGCCATCGCATCACTCGTGGGTGCCCCGCGCGTGCTGCAGGCCCTCGCCAAGGACAGACTCTACCCCGGCATCTTCGTGTTCAGTATCGGTTACGGCGCCAACAACGACCCTGTTAATGGATACTGTCTGGTCTTCGTATTATCTCTAGCCTGCATTATGATCGGTTAGTGTGCCTGTGATGTACGACCGTGTCAATGGATACTGTCTGGTCTTCGTGCTGTCTCTAGCCTGCATTATGATCGGTTAGTGTACCTGTGATGTACGACCCTGTCAATGGATACTGTCTGGTCTTCGTGCTGTCTCTAGCCTGCATTATGATCGGTTAGTGTACCTATGATGTACAACCCTGTCAATGGATACTGTCTCGTCTTCGTGCTGTCTCTAGCCTGCATTATGATCGGTTAGTGTACCTGTGATGTGTGTGTGTTTGTGCAATGGCACTATGATGGGTGGAAATGAGATAGAAATGGCACTAAGGCCGCAAAAAGGAAAAGAGAATATGAAATGACAGACTGAAATGAAAGGAAGAGATGAAAAAAGACGCTTCGTGCACAATGGTGTTGCGTAGTGTGTGCATTGAGTGTAGTTTTCTATTCGGGAAGGAGGTGAAGCGTATATAGTTGAGGGGTTCGTATTTACTGTACGACATCTTATTCTACTAGTTATGGTATATACTCTCTATGCTTGCAATTTGCGTGATGAAACTAAATTTATGTAGCGTGTTAGCCTTTCAAATGAATAGTCGGTATTTTTTTACAAACTCTTACTGTTTTACTCCCAAAGTAATAACCTGGTGAGTGCAACCACAGTAAAATTTTTACTAGATTACATAATCTGGAAATCGGCGAGCGAATTCTAGTATCAAATTATTGATTGATTTCGAATTATGGATTATTTATATGCTAATAAAATAACCTTCGGGTCTTTATCATATCAAACTTTCAGTACATGAATAAAAAAATTCATTTGCAGAGCCAAATATGAGATAATTCATGCATGATTCTTTATCATAGGTGACTTGAACGCGGTATCAACACTTCTCAGCAACTTCTTCCTGGCATCCTACTGCCTTATCAACTTTTCCTGCTTCCACGCGTCGCTCATCAAGAGCCCTGGCTGGAGGCCATCATTCAAGGTATCTACAGCCCTAACAAAATTTTGAGTCGCCCCAGCTTCTGGTAATCCAAATCAGAAGTTGCCGCGACTGTAAATTTTCACTGGGAAGGTGCCCTAGCTGTGTCTACTGCACCTTGTAATGGCTGTGATGGAGTCTCCTCTATATATCATATCCAACTGGGGGTCATATAAATTGCTCTTATTGAACATCATTTCGTGAGGCTTTTTATATGGCATCAAAAAATGTTGCAATGGCCTCTTACTGTTGAGCAAGCATTGACTGGTTTGTCCAGTTGGATATTCTGAAGAGTTTCCGCAAATTATTCCTTCTGCCTGCTTCATTGATTAATAACTTCGTAATTGGGCACGTTTATGCCGCAAAACTACTATAGGAAATCATTAAATTTTGAATATATCTCCCGTTTTTATTCGAATTACATCATCGTGTGTAGTCTGAGAATTCATATTTAAACGTACAGTGACCAACTGTGCCAACACCAACTGTGCCAATAACAACACCAACTGTGTCGGCCACTTAATGACATTATTATTATTATAATATTTTATTTAAACTCTTAGTGACATTTTGATGATTTCCACAGTATTACAACTTGTGGGTGAGTCTGTTCGGTGGCTTGTTGTGCCTGGTTGTGATGTTCCTCATCGACTACAGAACGGCACTTGTCACCTTCCTCGTCACGATCGGCCTATACTTGTTCGTCTCCTACAGGAAACCAGGCCAGTGAAACCTGACGCAGAGAGACGTTTCGGTGCTAAAATTATTTGGTACTATTATAAAATCTATCAACCCCTTCTTCATGAAGGCAAAACATTCTTTCGAAGACTTTAAGTGATTATCGGCGCAAACCTCATAAGCTGGCCACAGGTGTTTTAGCTATCATTATTATAAAATCAAACGTTTTCAGACATAAATTTTAAATGTTACAGGATGTCCACTTGAATTGTAACGACCTATTTTAATAATTTCGATAGATTGGTGTTGTTATCTCAAACGAAGGATATTATTCAAAAGTTCACAAATTTATTCCAAACAATGTCACCTCATAAGATTTGACAACATTAATAATTAATTGAAGAAATTAGTTTTCGTAACTTTTAACCGCCCGGCCAAGGAGGCTGGGCGTCGGTTAAGCACAACAGAATTGAAGCAGTGAGTTGCGTGTTCGAAACCGCAACAAGTTGTGAATGTTCTGCGATGTTAAGAATCGGCAACAGGCCTACGGCCTAATAAACGCTGAAACCGCTATTTTGTTATTATATTATTACTATCCTTTAGACGCGAACTGGGGATCTAGTACGCAGTCAGCCTCGTACGTGTCAGCCCTGAAGGCGACGCTGACGCTGCAGACCGTCGACGACCACATCAAGAACTACCGTCCCCAGGTCCTTGTCATGACAGGCAGACCCAGCAGTAGACCTCCTCTACTCGACTTTGCCAACCTTATCACCAAGAACCTCAGCATGCTGGTCTGCGGTGAAGTGTCCAAGGTGAGTAGACCCAGTGTGATGGTCTGCGGTGAAGTGTCCAAGGTGAGTAGACCCAGTGTGATGGTCTGCGGTAGACTTTGCCAACCTTATCACCAAGAACCTCAGCATGCTGGTCTGCGGTGAAGTGTCCAAGGTGAATAGACCCAGTGTGGTCTGCGGTGAAGTGTCCAAGGTGAATAGACCCAGTGTGATGGTCGCGGTGAAGTGTCCAAGGTGAGTAGGCCCATCCTATCAAAATTTTGAGTGGGTGGCGATTCTGAATTAGGAACCACCTAGGACTCGGACCGAACGTAAATCAGCTTCACTATATGTCCGCTTTTTGGTCTACATTCTGGTCCCCGAATCAGACAAATACAAGCGCCTGGTACTTATTCTGCCAAATCTTGTCCTACTCTCAGGAGACTATAAAGTCGGCAAGGAGGTTCTGACTAGTCGCTGATTGCGATCTGGTGGCCAACCAGACCCAGAATAACTCTAACGCGAACATAGCAGCTCTGGGACGGAGGCTGAAGCATACCCCGAATTTTGCTAGGGCAGTATATGATAGTCGGCTGTGACGCTTTCAAGTTGAACTACTTTGATTATTCATCAATTTACTAAACTCAGTGCAAGACAGGTTATCATTTCGTCATGTATATGAAATTCATATAGAGTTCACTCTTGATGAATAAAATTTAACTCCAGTCCAGAGGTAAATTTTTAATTGAGCGAGCGCATGACTTAGAATAACGCCGTTTGCCGATAAACTTCATTGATTTGTGGACATTTTAATACAGGATTTAGAATGGGCGAAGAGGTCAGCATATGCAAACAAGTGCAACGACTGGCTCATCGAGAAGAAGTACAAAGCTTTCTATAATCTCGTGGTGGCCAACTCTCTGGACGAAGGAGCCGCAAGCCTCTTCCAGGTACGAAGAAAGGACCATGTCTGCTCCAAATTATTACTTCTCTGTTTCTGAAAATTTACTCTTAATTGCTGTCGAAATACCTGGTACTTCTGTCTCCGACAATCCAACACTAATTGAAAATTATCAACTATTTTAAATGGAGAAATTATTTTCCCATTCTAAGTTTTTGGGGCAAAAATATAATATCAAACAATAATGTAAACAATGTTTATATCCATGGAAAAAATATTTGGCTTTCAATAAACTTACATGTATAATAAAATAAACTAATAATTACAGGTATATAATGTTTAAATCCATAGAAAAAATATGTGGCTTTCAATAAACTTACATGTATAATAAAATAAACTAATAATTACAGGTATATAATGTTCACATCTATAGAAAAATATGTTGCTTTCAATAAACTTGTATAATAAAAAAAACTTGATGCAGCTTGCCGGTTTGGGCAAACTGAAGCCCAACATCGTCCTTCTAGGCTTCAAGAGCGACTGGAACGTGTGCAGCAAAGATGAACTCTCTGCGTACCTCAACACTCTGCAGTGAGTTCTCAAAATAATGTAGTTTTACAATAAATAAAAGTACGTCAATCGCATCCTCCTATTGGGTTAAGGTTTAAACTCATTTGAAAAAGCAGTTGTAATAAAACCTATAATTTCTGTTACTATTGATGAATTTTGTAGATCGTACAGAATTTTGTAATTTTGGTGTCATCCCACCCATCGGTTCACACATTGCGTGGGCTAGCTGGATGTGATAGTTTTAACTACTCTCAATGTATCATTTATGTTCAATCATTTATGTTCTTCAAAAGTATATTTGACACCAGTCATAAGTGAAAATATATTGTGCTGTTACTTCCGAAAACAACTTTTAAAGCCAACTTTTAAAGAACATTTATGTTCTTCAAAAGTATATTTGACACCAGTTATTAGTGGAAATATATTGTGCTGTTCCCTCCGAAAAAAATTTTCAAAGCTAACTTCTGAATCGTTAATTTCCACAACATTAAAATATCAAAATTTTCTCCGGACAGTGCGGCGCTGACCATGCAGCTGAGTCTCGGCATCCTACGTCTGGCCAAAGGAACTGATTACTCCAATGTTATAGCTGAGGATTCATCCAACAGCCTTGACGAGGTTGCTGATCAAAATGCTCGAGAAGGTATGAGGCTTTACGTAGCTAACTTTGTGGAGCATTTAGCAAAATTTCCCTACATTTAGCAAAATTTCCATGCATTTAGCAAAATTAGCAAAGGTTTACGAAATCGGAAATTGAACAGCATTTCACGATCTGTGCATCACACGAAATGAGATGCAGAATTTTGAGACGAACAACGTACTGATATATTACAGTAAATTTGGGCACAACTTGGTTGTTAAGCCAAGTAATAAATGTTCAGGTATCTTAGAACGAATTGAAATAATGAGTTGTAAACCTTTCATTGCCCATATACACATGTATGTACATATAACAAATGAAAAAACTGCGTAAAAATTGAGATAGTAGTAATAAAGTTTGGTGATAAATATTGTTTTTCATCTTCTGTTGCTTTTTCGCTCCGCGTTAGCGAGTTAAAATTTATAATGGACGTGATTCCAAATTATCAATGTTCTATATGTCTCTGGTAAGCCAAGTAATCACAAGCTGTGATCGAGACAAACTAATCGAAGGCCGGGTAGGTCAGGTATCAAATGTTGCTGAAATCCAATTACAAGCTCATAAAGGCAACTATATCAGCGTCTATCTTATAGGGTCTACGTCATGAAAATGGAGCTCTGTTCTCAGCTAGATCAGCGTCTGCTCTAGAGTCCGCACACGGCCGGCCGTAGCTTATTGGCCCCGGCCAAGCGTTGGCTAGTTTGAGTTAGAGTAGACAACTTACGCTCCGGCCGAACAGAAAAAACACTCTAAAGCAGACAAAATAATTGAGTATGTACGATCTTGCTGTTTCTCTATTCATTCAAGTTGCATGAAAGTCTGCAAAATGTCCAAAGGACTAGCCCGCTGTGTTACGATGTAAACTAATGGTAACTAATAACAACAAATTAATTTGTTCAGAAATGTCTGATTTACCGATCAGTAATCAATTTTCAGGAAATTTTAATCAGTCCCTTTTATATATAAATTTATTTATCGCAAACTTTATTGGTAAAAGTGTTAAATTTATTTCCTTGTGATAACTGTTGGTGAACAATGTATTAAATTATTTGAATAATTCTGTACAGTGCACAATTGCAAATTAATATATAACAAAGATCAAATAAAAAAGTAAGTTTGGTATCTCATTTGAAAATGTAGTTGCAATGAAAAAACTCAGTGGAGAAATCCCATTGAATCCAAATCATCGTCTGCAGGTAGGCGGTGATCGTCGTCATCACTTAGTTGAAATTATCTGTAAATTTTTGCTGAGTCTAAGTTATTCAGTTATTGTGGCTGAAAATCGTTTTATATTAGACATAATTTGCTATATTTTGAGTTGAAACAGAATAAAATAGAAGGGTCTGGTAAACAAGACGATATTTTTTAGTATGATGTCGAAGATAGGCATGAGATCAATTATATTTTATGATACCTTAATGAACGTTCCCCGGCCTGCTGTTTTTCGAAGTATTTCATTTGTGCGCGTAATTAAGTTCCGTTTCATAAAGCGAGTAAGTACCGCAGTGTGTTCAGGTCATTGGTAAAAGTAATATTTTGAAAGCTAAGAAAAAACGAAAAAATTAATCTCTTCTCCAAATGAGATAACGTTTCGGAGTCCAGCTTCATCTTCAGTTCAAAATCCAAGATCACAATCTTGGCATATTGGGAAAATTTCATGTGCAGAGTCACTTCATAGTCTAGAATTGTAGGTTTATATCACCGAAGCAATTGTCCAAGATTGCAGCTGTCATGTGAATAATTTTATTGAAATCATGAGCGTGTAGATGCACCCGCATCTGAACAATTTGATTTTTTTAGTTAGATTTTTTAATAGTTTTTGCGCTTATACCTACACATATCTGGGTTAATGTTTGATAAAAGCCAGCGACGCAAGTCGCAAGGAATTCGAGGCGTTGATAGAGCAATTCAAGACCACCGCCAGCAATGCTGACGACGGTGAGTAAGCAGATTTTATATGAGTGAGTGATTGGTGAAAGTAATTTATTTTATTTTTTTTCAAATTTTGAAGCCTTTACCATAGAGGTAACTTTGTCCTATTAAACTCCTTTCGCAGTATTAATTCTGCGAGATACAATTTTTTGCAAAGCAAACTTACGATTTACATGAATACGTACTTATTTATTATTATAAATTTCATTGTTAACATCAAAGCTTTGAAGGGATTCAAGTCATAAAACACAATAAATGGTTTAGCATGTATTCACTTTTTCAAGGATGAGTATTAAAAATTATTCAAGTTCACTTCAATTTTTTTTAATTTTCAAATTTAATTTTATTTTATAATTTTGTTTTAAATTTCCGATATTCATATCATAATTATTACCGCTGTAAGACATAGTTCAACCAATTTGTGTCAATGGATATTTTTTCGGCACGCATGAACAATGATGCTAATAATACAGCATATGAAAATGGTATATTTACTCCATTATCTCATCAACGTCAGTGTCACTCAAAAGTTGATCGTCACTCCACTTACGCAATCTTTGAATCGGCGCAAAGTTACGTGCTCGTAACGTACCGCAAAATGTTTTGAACGTACCATTATTTAAGTTACGAGCACTTAGCGGACTTACGCTGCACTTAAGCCGCTACGAGCACTTAGCAATGTTTTGAAAGTACCTGCGCTGGATTCTTAACTTGTCCTCCAGGCGTGTCCATCACAGCGGAGGAGTTGGCCAGTCAGAAGGACAAGATCAACAGACACATCAGGTTGAGGGAGCTGCTCAAAGAGAACTCGAGGGCGGCTAATCTCATCATAATGTGAGTAATAAAATTACTCATTTAAGTGACAACCTTATCATAATGTGTGTCATAAAATGACTCATGTAAATGACAACTCGTCATAATGTGAGTTGTAAAATGACTCATGTAAATGACAACCTTATCATAATGTGAGTCATAAAATGGGTCATGTAAATGACAACCTTATCATAATGTGAGTCATAAAATGGGTCATGTAAATCACAACCTCATCATAATGTGAGTCATCAAATGATTCATGCAAATGATAGTCTCATCATAATGTGAGTCATAAGGTCATAAAATGACTCATGTAAATGACAACCTCATCATAATGTGAGTCATAAAATGACTCATGTAAATGACAACCTCATCATAATGTGAGCCATAAAATGACTCGTGTAAATGACAACTTCATCATAATGTGAGTTATAAAATGACTCATGTAAATGACAACCTCATCATAATGTGAGTTATAAAATGACTCGTGTAAATGACAACTTCATCATAATGTGAGTCATAAAATGACTCATGTAAATGACAACCTCATCATAATGTGAGTTATAAAATGACTCGTGTGAATGATAGTCTCATCATAATGTGAGTCATAAAATGACTCATGTAAATGACAACCTCATCATAATGTGAATCATAAAATGACTCATGTAAATGACAACCTCATCATAATGTGGGTTATAAAATGACTCATGTAAATGACAACCTCATCATAATGTGAGTTTTAAAATGACTCATGTAAATGATGGTCTCATCATAATATGGGTCATAAAATGACTCATGTAAATGACAACCTCATCATAATGTGGGTTATAAAATGACTCATGTAAATGACAACCTCATCATAATGTGAATCATAAAATGACTCATGTAAATGACAACCTCATCATAATGTGGGTTATAAAATGACTCATGTAAATGACAACCTCATCATAATGTGAGTTTTAAAATGACTCATGTAAATGATGGTCTCATCATAATATGGGTCATAAAATGACTCATGTAAATGACAACCTCATCATAATGTGGGCCATAAAATAACTCATGTCATGTAGAAATATTATTCAATTTTCCAATGGTAATTTTCGCCCTTTCAGACAAGTAAATCAAACTCAGTGGGGCATCCATCATTAAATACACCACAAATTTCTTCACGCACGTATTTTTTCTGCCGCCGAAGTGTAATAATTTAACATTTGTTTAAAATCTTAGATACTGATTATCTTACATAAACAATTATTAAACTTATCTCATAAGCAACTGAGAGAACCATGACCCAATCAATATAAAACATTTACGGTAAAAATTTACTAGTTTTAGTTCAAATTCAAATAAATAAATAATTTAAAATATAATAAATTAAATATTAAATAATAATAATAATTATTAATAATTAAGAATAACAATTAATTATTAATAATAAATATTAAATAATAATTAAATATTAAATATTAAATAAATAATTTAGCACAAATTCAAATTTAAATTAATAAAGTTAAAAATAATTTTATTTAATTCGGGTCCCCACAGGACACTACCCATGCCCCGCAAAGGCCACGTGTCAGCGTCACTCTACATGGCGTGGCTGGAGTACATCAGCAGAGACATGCCACCCTTCCTCTTCATCAGGGGCAACCAGCAGTCCGTGCTTACATTCTACATGATCTTGTCTATGATTGGTGGATTTTGCTTGAAAGGCCGTCAATGATTGGCTGATGAACTTACGATCTCTTAACTTTTTTGAAAGTATAGGCCCTGGTCCATCGTTCGTTCTCCTTAAAGTGCATTAATCTGCGATGATGGGATTGCTTTAAATAGTTCAATGAAGATTTTGGATGGTCTAATTGTTCTTCTTTATTGAATATTCTGAAATTTCGTTCATTGAGTTTAGTTTACCATAAACATTTTAAAGTGAAATATGTAAAGAATATTCTACATAAATTTAATGGAGTGCTTGATTTGTTATGTGTGGTATCTTTATAATTAGCATTAAGATGGAGCTTCAAAGAGTAAAAAAATTATCTGTGAAATCAATTTGTTGCTGCTTGTTTTGCTTAACCGAACCAAAACTTATTAATTTTAATAAATATTTTATAAGAGAATTTAATAATTTAAGTTGGATTTGAATAAGCGTTTGATTTTTACGGTGTTGTTGTTGAATATTTTCGCTGTTGATTGTTTCACTTTCGCGATGTTGCAACCTCACGGAATTTGTCTTTCTTTGACGCTGTAAATTTAATTTTTTCTACAGCAATTTTTTGTCAAGAATATCTTGGGTGAGTAACTGATTTAATGAATAATTGTGGAGGGGAGATCTGAAAAACAAACTAAATTGGAACCAATTATGTTGACTACTTGTCGTAAACGCATGACACCGAGGCCATCGCGCTGACCTACCGGGTTCATTTTTTGAAGAAGTTAATTTACCTCTAAAAACTCCAGTGATTTTCATAGGAATAAGAATACAGCAGAAATGGAACCGGTGTTTAAACCTCTTACGTATGATTGTATGAATTAGTAGCCAACCTCAATGGGCTTTCAGTTATGGTATATTTACGATGGAATCCATACACTTACCTCATAAATCAAAGAGCTTATGGGATTTCGTGTTCTTAGGGCCGTTGGTCCGAATGCCCTCATCTACAGGGCTCTCGCTACTTTCCTGCGGGTCTCAGTGGTGGGGCATGGTTCTCATGTTGGTTACTGGCATTTTTTCCTTATCTTTGATCTCTGGCTGCTCACATGTTAATACTTCGTCTCTGTGAGATGGTTACGTCTGCTCTAAGATGACCTTCCCTTAATGCTTCTCATTGTGTGATTTTTGACATAAATAATTTTATTGGTTGAGAACTCTCATATATATGGTTTCTTATGCGACTTTGCGTTCATAAAATATAGCTAACATGCAGTGTATCTCTTATTTATATAACGACTCTAATATTGGTGCTTTCTTATAATGGACATCTGATAAAAAACTGCTAAGAAAATTTCAGCCATTTTTCTTGCATTTTGTAAAAATAAATCATAAACCATATCACACATGTTTCAGTATCTTTTCTTCCCTTGCAGTCACACAAGTACAATGGTAAACTCACGTTGTATTTTTCTAGTAAGACAATTAAAAATGAATTAAGCAATATTCATCCACTATATTCATCCGTGTCTTCACCATAGTGAAGACACGTGCTTTAGTTCGGATTAAGACTACTTACCTTATACCCTGCTATGATGTCATCAGGAATGCAAGTTGTCATTATCATGTTACTAAACCCAGATTACTGTGACGTGGGAAACGGATTCATCTCTTCCTAATCTTAATTAGGCTATTTTGTTTCTGTAAGTTTGAGTATTGTAGAATTGTTCTTAGATACAAATAATTCATATTAATGGAAAAATATGTCTTCGCTTCTTGCTGTTTGTGAACATATGTAAAAAAATGACAAACAGGACGCGGTTTCATGTCCCATATTACGACACCAATTCCTAATTGACCCTAATTACCCTACTACATCACTCGTGCTGCCTGACGAGTCCGAGTGAGAAACATTTCTTCCAACAAGTCCAACGAATTCCTACCAAATATGGTCATTGCATGATGGGGAGGTAATACCATACTATACTCAAGATGGCGTACCCAAGATGGCATACCCAAAATGGCATACACAAAATGGCATACCCAAGATGACCTAACCATGATGACCTACCCAAGATGACCTACCCAAGATGACCTACTCAAGATGACTTACCCAAGATGACCTTCCCAAGATGGCCTACTCAAGATGACCTACCCAAGATGACCTACCCAAGATGACCTACCCAAGATGACCTACCCAAGATGAGTTACCCAAGATGACCTACCCAAGATGACTTACCCAAGATGACCTTCCCAAGATGGCCTACTCAAGATGACCTACCCAAGATGACCTAATCAAGATGACCTGCCCAAGATGACCTACCCAAGNACCACATACGCTCGAAAAATTGGTTAAGTCAATTATCATCCTGTCTACACAAATATACGTATACACGCCACTCTATGAGCTGGAGATGACTTGGTTCGCTCCAATATCAAAGGCTGACCAGGCTATCATGAAGCAGCTTGACAAGCCGCTACTTTAGGTTATTTTACGCAGATTCGGACCTGTCTCTTATACACATCTAGATGTGTATAAGAGACAGGTGCGGCGCTGACCATGCAGCTGAGTCTCGGCATCCTACGTCTGGCCAAAGGAACTGATTACTCCAATGTTATAGCTGAGGATTCATCCAACAGCCTTGACGAGGTTGCTGATCAAAATGCTCGAGAAGGTATGAAGCTTTACGTAGGGAAACATTGTTGAGGATTTACATGCATTCATCAAAATAAACGAAATTAAGTTTGATGAAATCGGAAATTGAATTGCATTTTGTGATCCGTTCTTTATAAGAAAAATAAGATGCAAATTTTAAGAACGAAAAACGTACCGATATATTAAACTAAATTTGGGCACAGGTTGTGGTTCAACCGAGCAATAAATGTTCCGGTATCTTGGAACGAATTGAAACAAGGAGTCGTAAACCGTTCACTTCTCATATATACACGCATATGTAACAAATTATAAAAAACTGCGCGATAATTGAAATAGGAGTGAAAAAGTTGATGATATATATTGTTTTTATTTTTTATATATTGTCAACGAGTTAAAATTTGACCAAATTATCAAATGTTCTATAGGTCTCTGGCTTACCAGAGACCTATAGAATACCATGAATAATCAGCGACGAGTTAGTAGGATAATTATATAGTCCCTTTTAGATAGCACTTTATTTATCGCAAACTCTATTATTAAAAGTGTTAGATTTATTCCCTAGTGATAATTGTCGGTGAATAAAGTGTGGACTGATTTGGATAATGCAGAAGATATGCATGCCTTCAATTATATTTTAATGATACCTGAATGAACGCTCCCATGCTGTGCTTCGAAATATTTCATTTGTGCGAGTAATAAAGCTCCGTTTCACGAAGCGAGTAACGATCGCAGTGTTTTCAGGTCATTGGTAAAAGTAATATTTTGAAAGCTAAGAAAAAACTAAATAATAAATATCTTCTTCATAAGATATAACGTTTCGGAGTCCAGCTTCATCTTCAGTTCAAAATCCTAGAACACAGTCTTGGAGTTTTTCCAGATAAATTTCAACATAAGTAACATACATAACACATATATGACCAACTACCTTTCCTATATGACAAAACTCTACTGCGATGCTTGGCATTTTGGAAAAATTTCTTGTGCTGAATCACTTCACAGGCCAGAAGCCTTATCACCGAAGCGATTGTTCAAGATTGCAGCTGTCATGTGTTTGTGTATAATTTTATAGCAATCATGAGCGTGTAGATGCAATGGCATCTGAAAAAGTCAGCGCTAAATAATTGAAAGTGTGTTTGATTTTTAGATCGCTTTTACGCTCCTACACACAAATGACTGGGTTAATGTCTGATTCGTTTTGATTAATAAAAGACTGATATTTTGTTAACGAGATTTCTTTTTAGCAAAAGATATTTATCATTGGTAAACAAATACGCTTTGCTATTTTTCGTACAAATCTCTAATGAATTTAGTAAATAATTCCAAAATCTTAGATATTTTAAATTTATTTCTTAAATTTAGGAGGCATTTGTCGAGTATTATTTATATACTTTCGTTCTAAATAGATTGTCGATTCAATTACAGCAAGTTCTGACTTTAAAAAACTAGCTCAAATATGAATTAATAAGTTTTGAACTTATTTTTTATAAATGATCTCACAGATGGCATATCCAAAGGCGGGTCCAAAAAGCGGAAGTTCTCCTTTTCTGACGCTTACACCGGCCCAGGGGGAGTCAAGCTACCCAGAGACGTATTGGACGGCATCACCACATTCAAGCGCAAGCAAGACAAAGTTAGTGCAAAAAATTCCTACAAATTATGCTGGATGGCATCACCATACTCGATCAAAATTTATTTTTTTGTGCAAAATACTTAAGTTCTAACGGAGGTGAAAGGATGGTTAACCTTCCAAGTTGCACATTTCATGTGTTCCTCATGATTAAAGTTTCAGCAACTCTTTTGACTACGGAACATCCATCAATAACAATAATCTCTATTTCTATTAATTAACCAATCACTAACATATAAGATGTTAGCACCTTGTGGTATATGATCATGGAAAGATTGAATGGTCAAATGATAAGATAGAATAAAATCACGTTTTTCACTATCAAAAAAGCCAAGCTTGACTTATTATGATAATACATGTTTGAAGATCGATGGTCAAGGGTTTGCACTTCATAGCAACTTCGATGCGTTCTAGTTGACATGATACGACAGCCTGCTTCCAAAACAAAATTGGATCATGCTGGCTGTCCCTATACCTTGCTTCTGGGGTGCAAGTGCAACTATATTTGTGGTCTTCAAATCTTCAAAACCCTTTACCTTTCTTCCGGGGCACCACTGACGTGTTCGTTGTTCTAAAAACCCTTTACCTTGCCTCCAGGGCACCGATGATGTGTGTTGCTTGTTATCAAGACGCTTTATATACTCTTCTTCTTGGACACAATTAACGTCTGCTCGTAGTTATAAAAACTCTTTACCCTGCCTCCAGGGCACCATTGATGTGTTTTGCTTGTCATCAAAACTATTAACTCTTCTTCTTGGGAACCATTGACGCGTGTTCGTTGTTCTAAAAACCCTTTACCCTGCCTCCAGGACACCATCGATGTGTATTGCTCGCCAGCAAAACTCTTATAACTCTACTTCTTGGGAACCATTGACGTATGTTCGTTGTCAAAAAACCTTCCAGGGCACCATTGATGTGTTCGCTTGTCATTAGAACCATTTACTCTTCTTCTTGTGAACAATTGATGCGTGTTCGTTGTTCTAAAAACCCTTTACCTTGCCTCGAGGGCACTATTGATGTGTGTTCGTTGCACTAAAAGCCCTTTACCATGCCTCCATGGCACCATCGACGTGTGTTGCTTGAAAATAAAACCCTTTACCTTACATCCAGGGCACCATAGATGTGTGGTGGCTGTATGACGATGGGGGCCTGACACTCCTACTCCCCAACATCCTAATTACTCGCGCCAAGTGGAGCAGCTGCAAACTACGCATCTTCGCCCTCGCCAACCGCCGCGACGAGCTCGACATGGAGCAGCGCAGCATGGCCAATCTCCTCCACAAGTTCAGGATCGACTACAGTGACGTCATCGTCATCCCGGACGCCATGAGGAAAGCCAGCGACGCAAGTCGCAAGGAATTCGAGGCGTTGATAGAAAAATTCAAGACCTCCGCCAGCAATGCTGACGACGGTGAGTAAGCAGATTTCAAATGAGAAAGTTATTAATAAATTTTATTTATATAATTTTTTCAAGTTTTGAAGCCGTTTTAAGAAAAGGAAATTGGTCCTATTAAATTATTTACGAATATGGCGAATTCTGCGAAAAATGTACGGATTCTGCAAAAAAAAATTTTTTCTCAAAGCAAACTTACAATTTATGTGAATGATCAATGCTTATTATAATTTCCTTTGCCTCCAGCGAAGCTAAGAAATGATTCAAGCCAAAAACCACGGTCAATGGTTTAGTATGTATTCACTTTTCCAGGGATGGCTATTTAAAATTATTTCAATTGTATTTAATTTTCATTTTAAAAATTAATTAATTAATAATTTTAATTTAATTTAATTTAAATTTTTATTTTAAAATTATCTAAATATCAAGAAATGATTACAGTATAAAATAAAGTTCAACTGTTTAACCAACTTGTGTCGATAGATATTTTTTTGGCATGCTTGAACAATGATGATAATGATATTGCATATGAAGATGGTATATTTACTCAATTATCTAATTAACGTCAGGATTCTTAACTTGTCCTCCAGGTGTGTCCATCACAGCGGAGGAGCTGGCCAGTCAGAAGGACAAGATCAACAGACACATCAGGTTGAGGGAGCTGCTGAAGGAGAACTCGAGAGCGGCCAACCTCATCATAATGTGAGTCATAAAATGACTTATAAAAATGATAGTCTCATCATAATGTGAGTTATGATGACTCATGTGAGATAAATGACTCATGTGAGATGATATATATATATATTTGTAGATAGTCATAGATATATTTGAAAATGACTTTAGAAATATGTGAGATAAATGACTCGTGTAAATGACAACCTCATCATAATGTGAGTTATAAAATGGGTCATGTAAATGACAACTTCATCATAATGTGAGTTATAAAATGGGTCATGTAAATGACAACTTCATCATAATGTGAGTCATAAAATGGATGACAACTTCATCATAATGTGAGTTATAAAATGGCTCATGTAAATTACAACCTTATCATAATGTGAGTCATAAAATGGGTCATGTAAATGACAACCTTATCATAATGTGAGTCATAAAATGACTCATGCAAGCGACAACTTCATCATAATTTGAGTTATATGGTCTGGAGCAGCATTGCCAGAATGCTCAAAAAACGGCCAAGTCCGCGAACAAAAAAGGCCTACCTCCTACCATAAATTTTAGCCAAAAAATAAATTTGTCCGGTAAAACAGACCGCCTGGCAACCCTGGTCCGGAGACAAGGCTTAATAATTAAACACTCAAAGATATGATCGAGAGAGACCTGTCCAAATATCGATGCACATCTGCCTTGATGTGAGTCGCCCTGTCCCAGTGTGGACTGGAAAATGACGTATCGGTGTTACGAGCAGGAAGTGTGTTACTATTGGACAGTGCGACACATTTATTTCTCAGAATGTTACCTCATCCTCATGCGATTCATGGTTCGGAGACGAGACTTCATAATAATAACCATGAATATGAGTTCAACGTCGATCGTATGCTATACTGACGGCAATCTTGAGTTTAATCAACCATCGTTACTCCAACAACAATGTTTAGTTTATCTATGAGCATTAGATCTAACGATTATGATGGTTAGTTTAGATTAGATGAAATCTTTAGTTTACCACTATTGTCAAAAAATTTACAATACTCGTTAACTCATAGTTTATCCTTACTTATAGCTGTATATATACGCTAGCAACAATTGAATTCAGTTCGACTAATGCATGAACCGAGTTTAGTTGTCTTCGTTCCAAGTTTTAAAGCAGATTAGTATTTACAAGGCATACTTATAAAATCTCACCATATTTGTCAAAGGAACATGACGAATTTATAATGAGCAAAAAGAAGACTAGAATGACAGTAATTTTATGCTAGATTCCCGAAAGAGTACTTGTAGGGAATGAAAATTATATGTTTCTTTCGGTCAAGATATGGTATTCAATTTTTTCATGAATAGTAATTCTCGTTCATTCAGACAAGTAAATCAAACTCAGTGGGGCATCCATCATTAAATACACAACAAATTTCTTTACGCACGTATTTTTCTGCCCCCATACGTGTAGTACTGTAGTGTAATAATTTGACATTTGTTTGCAATCGTAGACTTGGATTATTCAAAATGAATCAATATTAAACTTCTCTCCTGATCAACTAAGAGAACCATGACCCAATCAATAAGAAGCATTTACGGTAAAGAAATGAATTAGTTAATTCCAATTGATGATTTTAATTAATTCGGGTTGCCACAGGACACTACCCATGCCGCGCAAAGGCCACGTGTCGGCGGCACTCTACATGGCGTGGCTGGAGTACATCAGCAGAGACATGCCACCCTTCCTCTTCATCAGGGGCAACCAGCAGTCCGTGCTTACATTCTACATGTAGATCACATTCTACATGTAGATCACATTCTACATGTAGATAAGATTCTACGCATAGATCACATTCTACATGTAGATCACATTCTACTTGTAGATCACATTCTNCTCGCGAAATTTGTCCTTCTCTTGACGCAGTAAATTTAATATTCTCTACAGTGAGCTTGAGTTTGTGAAGAATATCTTGGGTTAGAAATTGAGAATGAATAATTGTGGAGGCGGGATCTGTAACTAATTTAATTGGAACCAATTATGTTGACTAATCGCAATGTACTCATTACACCGGGGTTCATTTTTATGAAGAAGTTAATTTACCTCTATAAACTTCAGTGATTTTCATGAGAATAAGGATACAGCAGAAATGAAACCGGTGTTTAAACATTTTAGGTGTGAGCTAGTAGTTAACCTCAATGCGCTGTCAGTCATGATATACATATTTACGAGGTAATTCATACACTAATATTATTCGCAGGTAAAGGATATGAGCAATAAATTTTCTTCGCCGTTGTCGTCCAAGTTATTAATCAAAGAGCCCATGGGGCTACGAGTTCTTAAAGGGCCGTTGGTCCGAACGCCCTCATTTACTATTTTGGGGCATCTACATCTAATACTTTGGGGGTATCTACATCTAATACTTTGGGGGCATTTACATCTACTAATGTCCACATCTACTCGCTATTTTCCTGCGGGTCTCAGTGGTGGGGTTTGGTTCTCATGTTGGTTACTGGCATTTTTTCCTTATCTTTGATCTTTTGTTGTTTACATGTCAATACTTCGTCTCTGTGAGATGGTTACGTCTGCTCTAAGATGACCTTCCCTTAATGCTTCTCATTGTGTGATTTTTGACATAAATAATTTTATTGGTTGAGAACTCTCATATATATGGTTTCTTATGCGACTTTGCGTTCATAAAATATAGCTAACATGCAGTGTATCTCTTATTTAAATAAGGACTCTAATCCTTTCTAATAATGGACATCTTGTAAAAAACTGCTAAGAAAAATTCAGCCATTTGCTTGCCTTCTCTATAAATAAATCATAAACCATATCACACATGTTTCAGTATCTTTTCTTCCCTTACAGTTACATAAGTAAAATAGTAACCTCGCAATGTATTATTCTAGTAAGTCATTTAAAGTATGAAATAATCAATATTCATCCACTTTCCACCATCGTCAAAAAATAAATATCATAGTGTTGACGAGTGCTATAGTTTAGATATTGACTACTTCCCTCCCACCTGCCACGATGTCATCAGGTGTGCAAGTTATCATTATATTGTTACTAAACCCAAGTTATTCTGTTTCGCATGTCAATAATATCATTCTTGCTCCTTTAAAATAACCGATCGTTCGAACGCTTTTTATGCATTTGGGGTCCAAGTGTGACTTCGGAACAGGATTCATCACTTCCCAATATTGATTAAGCTATTTAGTTTCCGTAAGTTTGAGTATTATACACAAGTATTTTGTGAAGAATTCTAATTACATTCACATCATTTATATTACTAAAGAAATATATCTCCGCTTCTTGCTGTTTGTGATCATGTAAAAGTGTTCAAAAGGGCGCAGTTTCATGGCTCATAATATGTCACCAATTCCTAATTGTCCCTATGTACCCTACTACTGTACTCCTGCTGCCTCTTGAGTCCGAGTAAGAAAGATTTCATTCAACAAGTGCAACGAATACCTATCAAATATGGTCATTGCATGATGACCTACTCAAGATGGCATACCCAAGATGGCATGTCCAAAATGACATACCCAAGATGACACACTCAAGATAGCATACCCAAGATGACATACCCAAGATGGTAGGGTCCAAAATTACATACTCAAGTTGGCATACCCAAGATGACATACCCAAGATGGCATGTCCAAAATGACATATCAAAGGTGACAAACCCAAGATGAGATACCCAAGATGGCATGTCCAAAATGACATATCAAAGGTGACAAACCCAAGACGAGATACCCAAGATGACATTCTAAAGATGACACATCCAAGATGACACACTTAAGATGATATGTCCAAAATGACCTACCAAAGTTGATATGTTCAAAACGACATACTAAAGATGAAATTTCCAAGGTGACATATCCAAGATTAAATAATCAAGATTACATACCAAAAATGACATACCTAAGCTGGCAAACCATACATGACGTATCAAAGATTGCATATAACCTCTGAAAGATAACTCCATCTACAAGCCTATTGACCAGTGAGCCAGCATAATTTTGCTTACCAGGTCAGGATCTTCCACAGAATGCCACTTGTGAAGAGAATAGCATGATTTTTATCGGCTAAATGAAAATTTTTATATGATTAACTGTCTGAAGAAACTGGAACGTACAGTGAAATTTATAACACTAAGACAGAGGGTAATGAGGTGGATTAAAGTCCCACTCGCAGTTATAATACACATGGTAATGATGAGAGAAAAAATGCATTTGATCATTTTCCCGAACAAGACCTGTGAACACATGATTTGCTTATTCACCTCTGCTAGGAAAAAAATCATTCGTCACTGCCTGAGGTATTGGATCTGCCTAACACGATTAATATATACGTTGAAAAAATTGTTTGAGCGTATTCGGAATTTCAGTAGTCTTACATGATTTTTCTTGCTTCGTACTCTGGATTAGATTCCTTACGATTCGTTGCATACGTTTATTTAATATATATATATATAAACAGTTGTATATTCATGTGTAAATATTCAATAAGAATGCCAGAAGCGGAAATTCGTCGTGCCTCGGTTGTACTTTCTCGATTTTTTAGTCCAAGCCTGGCTGCTTGCATAGATATTTAAATTATACCGTGTACTCGACCCTATTATCCTACCCACTCATATTGTGCCAAGCTAGTGTGAGGGCATGATTGCAATGGAACCATTTGTTACGTGTCAGGCAATTTCTCATTCTTCTTCAAGCTTGCTTTTAAGCGATCTCGCTTAGGTATTTTTCAAGCCGTGTGATTCCACCAAAGCAAAAATTTTCATAATTAAAATATTAGATAGAGTAATCGCAACTCTATTAGCAAGGAAGTTGAACTCGTATAAGCATTAAAGTATTTGGTTCATACAAAGAAAACTGAGTGCACGAGTGCGCCATCGGCGTGCACCATCAGCCGACCCTGATGGACTCGCGGGTGCATGTGCAATGACATCACGGCTGCTAAGCGACATCAAATATTTATTTAATTGCAGGTAAATATCATGTGTGATCCATTCATGATGATATATATTTGTTTGATATATATAGTCATGTTATAAAATTTTCTGTTGTGAAATTTAGGTCTCTGTTATGAAATTAATTTTTATACTGAACAGCCTAGCGTTACGTGTTTTTTAATCATGGAATTTAAATCATACGCCACATATTTTTCAGAGAGCGGTTGGTTGGAGCTAGCGCACCAAGATTGGAGCAGTGATCTGCGGGTTCGAGTTCCAGTAATCTCCAAAAATTCTGCGACATCGCTTGTTGCGTTGGTCCATTCGAATCTTGAATTCCCCGTTTTTCGGTCACCTAATGGGTCAAGATACTGGTATATGGAGTCCTCTGGATGGCTGAAACCGTCGGATTGGGTAAGTCTCACCATAATGACGATACCTAACTATTTTCATTCTTCATACTCCGATGTATTTTTAAAATTTTCATTTTTGACTGCTGCCATTTTAGTATATATTATGTTTATTCTAGAGACTGTCTTAAATTGTTCCATTCTCTTGTCTAATTATGAAAAGGTAATTAGATTTTTCCTCATTTGTCCCTTAAACTCGTACATTAGTGAAATACATTTAGAAATATCGTCGGTGCCTTGATTTTTGATTTTTTGATTTCTTTGTACCTTTAATTTGTACCTTTCCTTGCACACTGATACAAATTCTCTGTGAAGAACACTATCATGCTATATTATCTGTGTGCCTGTGGTATGTGATATCTGCATGTGATATTTCATGTGATCTCTGCATGTAAAAGAGATGAAAAAGTATCTGTGTGCCTGTGGTATGTGATATCTGCATGTGATATTTCATGTGATCTCTGCATGTAAAAGAGATGAAAAAGTAACGTATAACATTTTTCATTCTTACCCTAACAAAATTTAGAGTCGCCCCAGCTTCTGGTAATCCAAATCAGATGCTGACGCGTCTGTAAATTTTCACTGGGTACTTAAAGGACATCATCCTTTTAGTCAGCGAATCGATTCGATTCAGCCAGCCTCGAAATCAAAGAGAATGCCGCCGACCTCAATTTTAAACAGATTCAGCCAACCTCAAAGTCTTAACAAATTTAGTCAGACACATTCTAAACTGATCCAGCCAGCCACGAAGTGTAAACCGACTACATCGTGGATAGAATATTCCAAATAAATACCCTATCGATATTTAGGGGTTGTCCGCTTTTTAATTCTGGACGCCTCATTTGAGCGTAAATTGGCGGCTCTATATGACCGCTATACGCTCTGGTTGTACGAGCAAAATAAGCGTCCCATTAGAATTCGGTCTATTCTCTGACAGCCGTAGTGCGAATGCGAGGTGCGCTTATTTGGTACCTGATACCTTCGGGACGGACACGGCCGAATCTTAAAAGTGTGCTAAAAAATGCTACTCCCTTCCGTCCTTATACTGAGGTGGAGAGAGGGGGCGTTTCATTACATACATTGGAAAAAAGGTAACACTGCCATTTGCATTATCCGATTCTACCCTTACATTCTACCACATTCACCAGTACCAAAAATTTTTCTCTAATCCGGGTAATTCTGTCACATAACCCAGTGTCAAGCGTTCTTTCATATAATACCAGCACCATGCATTCTCTTCCATTCACCATTACAAAACACTCTACCATTATCAATAGTAGAATCAATTATAAGTCCTCAATGTTCTCCCACAACATTCACAAATAACAGCCTAGTGGGTCTATAAGGGTTAGTTTTAAGGCATGGACTTGATTTGTATTGGCCATTTCAACATGGTACAGTTTAAGTGTGGTAGCTACTCTG